AAAGCAACCCCTTTTCGCAGTCATTTAAAAAATTTTATTGATGAAAATAACCTAAATAAAAATATCCATACTTTCTATATACAAAATTTGCACATACAGAAATTATTAGATCCTTTTTACAAGTAAAATTTTTTTATTAAATTTTTCTCAAATTTCCTTCTTTTTTTTTATTATTACAGGATACAGAACTAACATGACTGGCTCGACAATCAAGAGATGTATCAGATAAACTATTATTGATAATTTGATATGTAATTCTTTTTTCGATGAGGTGATATGTAATTCTTATAAAAAAACAAACAAACAAAAATATCAGGTCATGATCATATTTATCATAGTAACCTCTTTATGTCCAAATACAAGATATTTTGAAAGATTTGGTTCCTTTCTCTTTGAAGTATCTGCAACGGTGAACAGGAAATCCAGCCTTCCAAGCAAAGAATGCATTATCCCTATCATTATCAGAACCAGTGCACACAGAAACAACTCAAAATCCATTTCAAAAATAATTATCAAAATTCCAGTAAAATTATTCCATTCTCCAATGTTTAAATAATCCAGCAATAAAAATATTAATTATTTAACACAGAACATATTTTTTAAACATGAAAGTAATTTCCAAATTTATATTAAATTCAAATAAAAATTCCCTAATAGAAAGATGTGAAGAGAAAAAAAGGTTGGCAATAAAAAAAGAAAATGAAAAAAAAAAACGAGAAGAAGAAAAGATATCTCTACAAAACTCCAAGCCTACTTTTAGCCATCAAACCGAAACACGTCGACGTGTACAATTCCACCACCTCTTTATTAATTATTTTTTATTGCTTTTAAATATCACAATAACCATATAACCCGCAGACCACAAATTCTGTTTTTTCTTGATCTTTTTCTTCCTCTCCCTCATTCACCTTCATCTCTGTGTTCTCCGTAGTCTGTAATTCTCCCACATATGGGTCCGATGGTGGCGACCCAATGGCGACCGGTCTGGGAGTGCTGGCCGGAGCCGTCCTGGTCAAATCGGTGATGGACCAGAAGCCCATGGCCGGACCCTTTCAGCGCTGCCCGTCCTGCAACGGAACCGGTCAAGTCTCCTGCCTCTGCTCTCGCTGGTCCGACGGCGACGTCGGATGCCGCACCTGTTCTGGTTCGGGTCGCATGATGTGCAGCAGTTGTGGCGGCTCTGGAACGGGCGGCCCTTACCCGGAAAACTCATCGTTCGCCCGCCGAACCGCTCACCCCACTGATTCACAGGTCCGATTCCAAATTCGCCGTCGCAGATCCTCAATGAGCCTTAGATAAATCCTATACCCCCCTTTGTCTCAATATATATAGACACACAGTGTTCTTAAATCATAATTTGTATTTGCAATTTCTAGAATTTTTGCCGGGAATCCCCAAGTGATTGAAGAAAATCGAAGTGATGCTATAGAATTAGAAAGTAAATGGCATCTGAAATAGATTCTGGGGATGTGATTTTAGGATTGTAGTTTAGATTGTTACAAGGATGATGTATGGTTAAAGAAAACCGGTAATTGAGTTTGTTCCTGGAAGCAATCTGTTACTGACCAGATTTGATTTTTTTGCAACTGATGAAATTGAAAAGAGTGATTTAAATTTTAAAGTTTGTTAATTTCTGTGACTACGCTACGTTTTGTGTTGCAGTATATTTTAGGGGGTGTTTGGATAGAAATCAAACCATGGTTTTAGAAGTGCTTTTACGGATAACGAAGTAAATATGTGGAGGAGATTATCTCGTTTTGCAAAAAAGTGCTTCTGAAACTGCGGTTTTAAGGATGAAGTGATAATAACAAAACAATTTTAAGTATGTCAGGTTTTATTTGGCACCATGTTTACATTTCACACAAGTCTAAAGATAAAAATTGTTTTTTTTTTTTGCCCGTAAATTATATTTAAAAAATTATTTATAAGTTATTCTAAACTGATAATAATTTGCATAAAAATACTTATAGGAGATGGGTAGTTCATTTTTCACTCACAAGCTAAGCTAATCAATTCCGTGTTGATGGAGGCTGAGTGGTGGAAATTAGAATGTGGATAGAAATTAATGATGTTTATGTTGAATGTTGGGGGTGGCTAATTATGTTTAATTAATTAGTTAAAGCAAAAGACCAAATGAAGGATTTGCACAAATAGAGAGTGGATTTGAATTGTTAATTAATCGCATTATAAGCAAGTTGGATGCTATTTTCTTCCATTAATATTTTTAAAACCTATTTTTCCCCTTTTGGTGATGTAATCTTGTGCGTATCAGCTGGCTCCCAAATTCATCCTGAAGCGTGACATTAACGTAATGACTATTTAACTAACCTCTGTGTTTTGTTTAATTTTAAAATTTTTATTTATTGTTAATACCAAACTATTTAATACTCTACAATTTATCCGGAGTGAGTATTCTCAAATCCAATTGTAAATGTACATAGGTTGTTTTTCCCCAAATGCTCGAAACTTAGACTTAGAAACCAAAACCTTTTAGATAAATTGAAATCTAAAACTTTTTATACTTTCTCTCGTTAGCATCTAATAATAACTTTATATAAATTAATAAAATTAGTTATTTTTGAAAAAAAAAATAGGTGTTGCTTTTTTCAAGTATCCTTACTAATCAGTGTATTACCTATAAGTACTATTATTATAAAAATTATTTAGAAAAATAAATAGATATAAGAGACAAAATATATTGAGTCTTATATTTAGAACTAAAATAAAAATCAAATGAGCTCTTATATAAATATGACACAGTATTATATGATGAAAGATGGTGAAGATATTTATCACAAGCATTAAAAAATTAGATATAATCACTGCTGTTTCTATTTGGTGCCTCCAAATGTGGCAGCATACTTTTCTTGGGCAACAAACTAGGTGTGGAGTCACATCCGCGGACAGAAGGCCAAGCTCATCAAACAGCTGACACAATCAATTTAACTTTACGAGATTAATCTTGCAAAAAAAAAAAAAAAGAAGGAATTTTTTGCCTTTTCTCAATGCCCCTGTGTAACCTGTACATTACAAGTTGCATAGCCATGAGCCAGCTTCAATGCAACAATCCATTTTTAAACAATTATACTCCTCTGGTCCTTAATATAAGACTCAATTATTAAGTTGGTTTTGGTTCTAAATATAAGACCCATTTCTCATATTTATCAATTTTCTCTAAATTACCCCTATGGATACTCCCTCAACTATAATCAAGTAGAAAAGAAGGAGATGCGGTATTAAAAAAAGATGATTATTGGTGTTTTAGGAAAAACACATCACGTTTCTCATAATTAACTAACTTACCTAACTTCCTTAATCTAATCAAATTAGTTAAATGGGTCTTATATTAAGGACCGGAGGAGTACTTTCTCAATGTCTAAGTAAATCATTTATTTATTATAATTTGATGGGGAAAAAATAAATTTAAAATCAATGCAAGTCTATAATTTCAGCCATTTATTACGTTTATGCAGATTTTTATCTTTCATTGATAGTTATGTTTCATAAAATAAGCATCTGAACGGTTGCGATGGAAACAGGTCAACATTTTCTTGCCACAAAAATAAAAAGCTATTAACATCAGTGCATCATCATAGCATTAGTCTATATGGTTATACAAATTTTTTTTTCCGACCAGCAATATGGTTGTACGATTTGCTCCTATGAAGAAGATGTTTGATTATATTAGAGCTTGTTTATCTCATTGAAATATGACATTTCATTATAAAAATATGAAAATATGTTCCTTAAGCCATAGACCATTTCAACTACGACCGATTAAGTGTTTATTCAGAGCTAATTAATATAAGTATTTATAAGCCTATTTATGTAAACTGAGAGCAAACTTCTCTTATAAATTTATTTTATATTCTATGAATTATGATTGAAAAGTTAATTTTAAAAGATTATACACTAACTCCAAACGCGCGCTAAATTTGATGCTGGGGCTTTACAATTGTAAAATCCAGCATTATATGGTCACATCTTTATTTAAAATTTCCCTTACAGTTTTAAACAGTTATTTGCATAGTTGTTAAGTTAACTTGCTTATATTCATTATGTCAGAGTTTTCAATTTATCTCACGTAAATTTATAATTAAATAATATTAAATTCTAATATTTCAAAAACAGGACCATTGTCATATTTGATTGAAAATTTTAACATAATAATATAAGGAACTTGATGTAAGTATTATCCTAGTATTAAACCCATTTATATAATTTTTTTTAAAATTTAATGTGCAAAATAATAAATCTCTCCAGTATCTAAAATTCCTAGAAACTCTGACAAATATTTTTTGAAAAAAATTGACAGTTACAACAAAGTTTGGCCGAATACTACAAATACTTGTTAGTAATATAATTCCCATATAAAGTTTCAACAACATTTAGATTGACTTATAAGTAGTTTTTTTAAACATGATTTACTGAATATAAGAAGTATATAAAAAAAGTTTTGCCTCGGTTTAACGTAAATTTACTTAAAAATCCCGTTTTTGAAAAGACCTCCAAACAAGCCCTTAATCTTCTATTCAACAGTCTGCATATCTTGAATCAGAGTTGTGTGCAGCTCGTAGATTGCTCCCCACGACAAGGTAAGAAGAAATAACATAGGGCACAAAATTTGAAGCAGCACGCACGTGTTAAATGTTGAACACCAGTGCCATTTAGCATACCCATATTTTAATTCCTTTTTTATGACTATTGCTTTCCCTTCTCCATTGTTGACTTGTGAATGTGAATGATTTGTCCCTCATATATTCAAAGGCCACTGCATTTTCCTTCTTCTTTTCTTTTGGATTAAAAGTCAGTCGTTCCCATTATATTATTCTAGTGCCCTTGACTCCTACCATGACCAACAATTCCTATATAACTTTTTTCATCATTAACGTCTCCGATCGGTTGTGCTCACCTTCCACAACTTTTCCAAGCTTCTTCCTTGCAAGAACTTCGACATACCACGATCCAGGTAAGATATATATAAATATATATATATAGTATTTTACTTTGCAAACTAATGTGAATGCTACGTGAACTTACATTCATGGCATCTAACTTCAAATAAGTATTTGTACACTGATTGGATTATCACTATGTGCACCACATAGAGAAAAAAGCCACATTACATTCTCTTCATCACCCAAACAGATTACACATTCACCAGTATTTCTCCTTGCTGACATGTTCTCAGTCTTCTCACTTGGGTGAAAAAGCCTGCAATTTCCATTATAATTTGAACAGTTCAGTTCAGTTTTTTTTTTGTCAAAAGAGGGGAAGCGAGGTATTTAGACGTAGTAGGAGTGGTTAAACTTACAGCAAAAATGGTGGCATGGCCAGGGTCTGCTAAGTGGGCAAAGAGGTTGTCAATAGGACCAGTGCCAGTGTAGATGTGCTGGAACCAAGCACCCATCACAGCCAACATGGCCAATCTTCCATTCTTAATCTCTTTTGTTCTCAACTCTTTGACCTTCTCAGGTGAGCCAGAGCCCCAGCCCAATGGGTCAAACCAGAGCCCACCCGGGTAACCCACATCGGTTCCTGTGAGCTTGTTGTTGGGGAAGATCGGGTCGGTGTTGACGCTGCCGGGCTTGAGGATGTCGGCCCATCTTCTTCCCTCGGCCCATCCAATGAAGATGAGCTCAATGATGAAGAGGGTGGTGGTGTCTGTGAAGTATTCCAGCTCTCCAGCAGAGTACCACGAAGGAGTGTTGAGAATACCAATCTTTGTTAGGAACTCTGGGATGAAAATTCCAGCAGCACCCAGCATTGCCCATCTGCAATGAACCAGCTCCGCTTGAACATTCCATCTCAGGCTCTCTGGATCAGATCCTATCAAAATCACACCAAACCAAATCCCTTTTCTGTCACTTCCTTCCCAAACAAGTACATCAAACCAGTTCAATGGCATTCAAGTATACTCTAAAACTTGTTGAAAAGAAATTCACATATGATTTTACTGTAATGTAGAACACGCCTGATGAAGTTCCAGTGACAGTAAATATCAAGATTCAAGAATCACTGTAGCTCAAAACGATGACAAATAACACCTAAGAGATTTGATATACTGATATCTGAAGTTTTAGGCAACATCCATCCTGTGCTTGAGGCTATAGAATATCTATTGGATCTTTTCCGCAGACAGTTTTAAGTCATATGAAACATGTAATCTCCAGCAACATTATATCTCAGAGCATAGTATTCAAACTACTGAGAAATGTGAGGTGAAACTGAATTTCAATCGAATAGAAGGACATACCGAGACCGAGAGGATCAAAGCCGAAGTCTCCGGGAAGGCTGCCGTCAAGCCATGGAGGAGGGGTGCTTCCTGGGAACCAGAGAGGTCTGTCAGGATCAGCCGCCGCCGCACACACTCTGCTACTCACAGATCGTCCTCCGACTGTAAACTTGTTCACCCTCAACTTCCTTCCGCTCAGAAACGAAGTCCTTGTTCCCAAGATGCTTCCATTCTTCTGAGAACTGCATTCAACATTTCATTCACATGATTGTGTACAATAAAATCAATATAAAGCATTCCAAAACATCACCCCACATGGTCGTGAAATTTACTCTGGGTAACAAAGACGGCGTCTTTCAAGAAAAGAGGATCAAGAGAACTTGCCTTGGGGTGGCGATGCGACGGCGGAAGAAGCACAAGCGGAAGCCATGAGAGCTGAATGATGGGTGATTGATCTGGTTGATGAAGGTGAGAAACAAGGAAGGAGTGAAAATTTGTTAAAAGAGGTGAAGGCTGTATGTTCTTCTTATCTGGAAGGATAGGATTGTGAGGTAGCAATTGGGTGATAGGGGTGCCACGTGGCATGCAGAATCTGATATAGAAGCCGATTCTCTGACACTTCACAGGCTGACGTGGATTCATCAGAATCTGAGTCGTGTGGTTCAGATTTGAGGTTTCAATTTCGCAGGCCATGTGCCACTCATTACTCATATCTATTTCTTCACTCCAACTGCTGGATTATCCTCTCCATGGGGCCCTCCGCGCCTAACAAAATCCTCCGTTCCTTCCTGCCTATTCATTTGCCCCCTTGTTTCCTATTCTTTTTTATTTTAAATTTTAAGTATGTTACTTATATTTCAATTTCCCTACAAAATACGTTCTCAAGTAAGATAACAAGAAGCCTAACCTCTTTAGATGAGATCCCTTTTTCAGTAGTAAATTAGAATTTTTTTTTTGCCAGCGAGTAGTGAATTAGATGAAAAATAATTTAATTTTATATAATAGTAAGCAAATAATAAATAATTTCTATACACGCGCACACACTAGAGTTAAAAACTACCGGTTAGTACCATAACAAAGGTAAGCCCCAGGATTTTTTTGTTACAGAAGAGGGCAGAGCCCAATAGAAAAAATCAGGAACCACATGATGGGGGAATTAATCCCAAACATTCGTTCGCAGCCAAGGCCTGCAACTGTGGTGGACAGGCAACAAAAATGGAGGACTTCAAGAGCCCTTCCTTTGCAAGGGCATCTGCAAGCTGATTTTTATCCCGAGAGATATGCTGAAGTTTGAGATCCCAAGGACGCGCCACTACTTTCTGAATTTGGATAAATAATAGACTAGCATTGGGAAGAGTTTCTCCTTTTTGCAGCATCATGATCACATTTAGAGCATCAGACTCAAGAATGACTCTTCTACAACCCAAGTCCCAAGTAAGCTCAAGTCCCTTAAAGACTGCCCACTGTTCAGCTTCAGAAGCAGTTGAGATACCGATCTTATGAGAGAATCCCATAATCCAAGATCCTGTATGATCCCTAAGGACACCTCCACAACTTGAGCTATTAGATCTTGACATAGCCCCATCAACATTTAACTTAACCCAGTTTGGAGACGGTGGTTGCCAAACATGTCTCAAAGTTTTGGGGGGAGTTAAACATTCCCTGTTAACATGGTTCTTCCAAGATTGAACAATAAGAGCAACGGGATTATCAGGTTTGACAAACCCATCCTTGTAAACAGATTCATTCCTCCATTTCCATAGTTTCCAAATAGTAAAACCCCACAGTAAGTCCTAGTTTTCAGCAGCACATAAGCCCATATTTCCTTTTAGGTTAAGGGAAAACCATCGCGAAGAGGCGCTGCAAAGAAAGATGACATATACCTGGGCTCTAGGCGTTGTGACCAATGTTTTTCGCATAATCACAGTCCCAAAGTATGTGGAGTGTATCTTCAATTGCATCATTGCAATAAGGATAAACAGCAGAAATAAGAGACGAGGAGTTAATCCAAGCATTGGTAGAAAACCCGTTATGAAATGCAATCCACATGAAAACTTCGATACGCTCAATCTCTTACCATTTCCATATAGCTTTATAAACTTTACAGTGAGGGTTGTCCGGAATTTTTTTCGAATTTTTTTCCAAGAGAAAATAGGCACTTCTAATGGAAAAGGTTCCATCGCTAGTTGCACTCCAAGAGAGAATATCCTCGCCTGCATCATCCATAGGAGGTAGCATAGATATTAATCTCAGTAGAATGTCCTGTCTTTTGAAAATCCCAAGCACCTTGATTCGTCCAGTCAGAAACTTTACTCTGTTCTTCTCGAAGTGTTAAGGGTCTTCGACAGGAATCTATGATCGATTTTTCAGGAAGAAGCCAATGATCAGTAAAAAGTGAACAGAATGACCATTTCTTATACTCCATTTGGACCCCCATCTTAATAATTCCTGTTGTTGAGATATGAACTTCCCAATTGGAGAGTCTCCTTTACGAGCATCAAGCAAATTTTCCTCGTTTCTAATCATATATTTTTTAAACAGAACATCTGCCCAAAGACCTTTGTCTCCAGTAATGAGTTTCCACGCTAATTTTGTCAGAGAAGCCCATAGGAATTTTGATTTCACAGTGTATATTGATTAATAGTGAATGGACATAAATGGGCCATACCAAAATGAACAGCTTTTATGTGGGCTGGGTCACCATGGGCCGGGCCCAGAAATTGGGGTAACCCGCTATCCCAAAATTATAAATACTGCTCAACACTTGGAGGCTCCAAGGTTACGAAAGGATAGGTCTCTTTCTATCTATTACTTTAGGTCAAGAAAAGGAAAGCAGAAATGTATGGCTTTTAAAACTCGATATTTCATGCACAAATTATTGTTTTGGTAACTACTCATATGTATCTCTTTAGGGCTTCTTTTGTTTGGGCCAACTACCTTTATTGCTATGTTATTGTATATATCTGAAGGGCTTGATCTGCGTGTATTGTTTGAGAAATAAGAGCGAAGTCGAACAATTATTTCCTATATTTTAATCATTGAAACTCAGAAGTCGTACAAATCTTGAATCAATTAGATTTGGATTTTGAAATATAGGCTAGTCGAGGAAGCCTACGAGTATTATACAACGTGCAGATTTGGATCTTTTATATGGTTTTGTCGTATACATTCTTAATACACTTGATGCCATGTAAATAAACTTTTAAATCATGAATTAATGTTGGAGTCGCTTTTAAATAAACTTTTAAATCATGAATTAACGTTGGGGTCTCTTGTAAACAGAGAATAAAAGAAGGCATCCCATTTAATAAACTTGAAACTAGTGAAAATTGTATAAGTGAAGAGGACTCATAGATCCAAATTAAATATTTTAAAAAAAAAATCAATTAGGTGTAATGAGATTTGATATCTGAAAAAAGCCGCGACCAGGAGATAGATGTTTATAAAGGGTTTGGTGTGAAACTAACGCTTTTAAAGAAGCAAATAGTGGTTATCAATGCTCCATGTGTTAATATTTCCATTATTTGGTGTTTGACGTCTACCAGCAATATCAAATCCTGCTTCACCACTGATTTAAAACACAACCCCAACCCAAGAAAAAAAAAAGATGATAATAATTATAATGTTTTATAAAAGGAGAAATTAATGATATGATTTGGTAAACAAAATCATTTTGAAAAAAAAAAATCTTTTTCCATGCAAGCATGTGCTAGTAATTAGTGCTTGCTATTATATTCCCTTTGATCATATATGTTTCTTCTGAATTATGGCTTTCATCCTTAGAATCTCTCCAAGCTCGCCATTAATGTGACACTAATCAACCAAGTGGGGTCTCCTGGCTTCCCTCTTCCTCCACATTTTATTTCATTGAGTCATATTTTTTAAGTTCTATCACACAAGTCTCCTTCTTAAACTTCTGTTTTTGTGTAATTTGATCGTGAATCTCCCCAAAATTTTAAATTTATGCAATACATGTTTGTATGGAAAACAGCTCAAATTTTAAGGATGGTTCATGTGCATAGCTCAATGGTATCTGGACATGCTCCGTTAATATGAAGCAAATTATTTGATAATACCATATTACAAATGCAAGTATGAAAAATTAGGGACCTTGTTGTCAAAATACTTTATAATTAAAAAATATTTGATGCAATGTATGTATTTTTCCCCAACATTTTCAATCAAACTTCAATAAACGAATAAATTTTAAAAAGAGAGATTAGTAATGCATTGGAGAGTGGGATTGGTGAGGTGTGGGACTTGCGGAGTCAACAAGCATCAATTTGACTGAGAAGGAGTGGCAAGGCAAGCCACACATATATAGCCCTGAAAGTACTAAATAATGAATAATGAAATGACCATAATCATTTTATATACACACACAGATATACATATATATGCCCCTTAATAATATTTATAATAATAATAATAATAATAATCATGATGATGATGAGAATAATGAATGATGAGTAAAAACAGGGGTTGGCCTAAAAAGGAGAGTTTATGTTGTCTCCTTCTCCCAAAACTTGGACCCCCACAAATCTCATTATTATGTTCTTCTAACTGTTTGCGTTTGTTCACGCAACTCATCATATACCTGCACATGTTGCTGCTCTCAATTTTGGTACCTTTTTTCTCATTTTGATTCATACCACCTTTTCCTATTGACTATTTCCTCCTTAATTTCTCATCCCTTCTCATATAAACCCCCAACTAATCTCTCTCTCTCTCTCCCACCCATTTCATTTTCTATTTTATCATTCCTATTGATTTGTATACATAATAAAGAAGTTTCATAGACAATTACAAATGCATATAATTAGAACATATATTCTAAAAAAAATTAATACGTGTTTGTTATAAATAATAAATTTAACTGATATTTTTTATTTTTATCAATCGATTATCTAACTTTGATATTAAAGATTGCATGGAACTAATTTTTTTTTTCCGCTAGTAGACGACATATTAAGTGGGGTCTTGAGGTTTAGAGGCCACAAATTGGTATTTTGGCGGTGAGAAAAATGACAGGATAGGATACATGCAATAGTGTTCACTTTAATTTAAATTCCCGTTCCTTAATATTGTTGAACAATAATAACACTGATTGATTAGTGAGTTAGTTAATTAATTAATTAATAGAAGTGAAGAGTGGAGCATGTATAATTATTGTTGAGAAGAGCAGGAGAGGCAGGTTTAGACAGACGTCATGATAATTTGTGAGACATGTTGTGAGTGATATATATGTATTACATTTTTCTTATTATGAGGAACACCAAAATCAGATGCACAACTTCACAAAAACCTGAATATGTATGACTAAAATGATGTACTAATTATCATGAATTTTTAAGGAACGTGATCATAATGTTCAACCAAACTTTCAACCTAATCATCATCCATTCCTTAAGCAATTTGGGTATATATGTTTCTCTCTTCCACCAATTGATTAATTAATCATCCCCTTTTAATTAATTTCCAATTCACACAT